CTCCTCTCCTCTCCTCTCCTCTCCTCTCCTCTCCCCTCCCTTCCCCTCCCCTCCTCTCCAGGTCTCTACATAGGCTGGCGCTGCCCTGAATACCTGTGGGATTGTTTCCGGGTGGGCGATGAGTCCCGGTGCTTCTGTGGGCACCTGCTGAAGCTGCATCAGGTGTACGTGGGTGAGTGGCAGAGCAGGAGGTGGACAGGAGTGGGCCTGGCTGAGGGTGGTGCCTGGGCATCCTGCGGAAGATGTGGGCTGCCCTCTGGATGCCTGGAAGGGGTCGGCTGCCTCTCGCATCACGGCTGATGGAGGATGACCCAGTTCCGCATCCTGGAAGGGAGAGGAGCCTTCCAGGACCCTTGGTGAAGTGATGGGATCGCCTCATCCTGTGGCAGTTGCCACAGCTGTCCCCTGTGAGATCTGCCAAGAAGGCCCTCCATCCTCATGAGAGCCCCTTGCCCACCCCCAGCAGCTCCCCACTTCCTCGACTGAGGAAGTGAGAGAGGAGAGTTCCTGGATTGCCCAATTTAGCTGGCACGTGTTTGGGGGTTTGTATAATACATGGAAGCATCAGCTCCCAAATGAGCAGACAGTCAGGAGGAATCCGGAAGCACCTTTTCGAGATCTTACCTTGTGCCACCGTAGATGAACATGGCTCTCCTCCTACAGCTTTTGCTCTTGCTATCTATTTTAATGTCCTTTCACACTTAGTCACATTCAAGGGACTTACTAGGTCAGAAAAGGGAAGTGCGATTTGAAATATCAGGTGAAATTTGTTAGAACGAAGGAGCCCCCCAAAGCAGCAGCCACAGCAGCTCCGTGTCTGTCTGTCTGTCCCCAAGGAGGCAGGCCTGGATCCGGCTGTCCAGCCGTTTTCCTCCAGCGAAGGAGGCCTTGATACAGGAATCCAAGTCGTGCACGATCAGTCCTCTCTCTTTCGGTCTCTGACCAACTTAAATTGCACAAATATTTGAATACCTGTCCTGTATATGTGTTTGTTTAAGTTCGATTTCAGTAGAAGACTCCTTTGTGATGCTGCTATTTCTTTCTGTTCCGCTCCGTCTTCCAGTGACAGATCCTGCCCTTTCTCCGCTGGGAATCTTGGGTGCAGCCCCATGTTAAAGCCAATAAAAGAGTCCTCAGGCCAGTGGTGGCCAGAGACGCGCGATGCCCCGTGGGGAGGATGGTGCTCGTTCTTCCCATTCCAAGTGGAACCAGAGGGGCATTCCATGGTTAGGAGGCTGGCCACATGTGGAGGACCCCCAGGGTGACTACTGGGACCATTGTGCATGATGGCTCTGTGGCAGCAGTGAGTGGGTGCCCCCCCCACCAGCCTCATGTGAAGCCAGGGGGTCATAGATGGTCTGAGAAAGCTGCCAGGCCACTAACTCTTGCGGGAGGCGGGGGTGTGCTGCCAGATAGGAAGGGGAGCTGTGGAAATTTGTGCCCCAGCTCCCATTGGGCCAGGAGACCAGACGGCACCAAAGACTACTGAGAAACCTGGTGTGGCTGCCCAGGACGGGAGCTCTCTGACTGCTTCCTGGTGTAAACTGCCCACTCGGGCGGTTCGGGCTATTTTGCACCTGAACCTGTGGGACAACTTTTGCCCAGTCTCTGACCTTTCCTTTCTGGGGCAGGTTGTTGAGAGGGGGGTTGGCCTTCAGCTGTAGAGGGTCCTGGATGGAGTGGATTATCTGGGATCTTTTCAGCCTGGGTTCAGGCCTGGTTACAGTACGGAAACAGCCTTGGTCACTGGAGGGCTTGGGGCAGAGACGGTGCGACTGTCCTGACCCTCCTGGATCTCCCGGTGGTTTTTGATACCATCAGCCGTGATATCCTGGACTGGCTCTGCAGGTACTGATCTGCAGTGGTTCTCCTCCTCCCTTTGTGCCCAGTTCCAGTTGGTGTTGGTGGGGTGGCACAGGGTTCGGGTCTCTTGCCACTCCTTTTTAACATCGACATGAAACCACTGGATGAGGTCATCTCTCGGCATGGGGCACGGTATCGTCAGTATGCAGATGATATCTGCACCCCTGCTGGGCAGGTGATGCTGTTTCACTGCTGACCCAGTGCCTGGAGGCTATGAGGGACCTGGTGGGGAGGATCCAGCTCCAGCTCAACCCTGGCACGATGGAGTAGTTTTGGGGATTTGGCCACCCTCGGTCTGGCAATGTGTTATCTTTGACTCTTGATAGGGTAGCACTTCCCCATTCAAGATTGGGCACAATTTGGGGGTCCTCCTGGACTCACAGCTTCTGCTTGAGGAGCAGGTGGCAGGCGTGGTTGGGGAGCCTTTCACAGATATGTCTCGTGGGCCAGTTGTGCCCATTCCTGACCGGGAGCAGTTGCTCAAGGTCACTTGTGCCTTGGTCACGTCTTGGTCGGACTTCTGAACACGCTGCACGTGAGGCTGCCTTTGAAGACCACCCAGGAGTTACAACTGGGGCAGAACGTGGTAGCTGACATGGCACTGGGCACCCCGCAGTTTGCCCATGTTACACTGTTGCTGCACGAGCTGTGCTGGCTCCCAGTTTCTTTCTGAGTGCAATTGAAGGTGCTGGTTATCGTGTTTAGAGCCCTGCATGGCACAGGGAGAGGCTTGCTCTGAGGATATCTGCCTGCCCACTAGATTGGATGCAGCGGGCATGCTCCAGCTCCCTCCCTTTAAATATCGCTGTCTAGCCTCCCTTTCCCATAGCAGCCCCTGCCCCGTGAAACCCCCTTCCCCTTGCGATCAGAGACCCCCACCCTCTTAATCTCCCACAAAGCCGCAAAGAGCTGGCTTTCCCTCCAGTTGCTGGCACGGTGAGGTTGGAGCCCAGGGGACTGCGTAGATGAACGGGTGCAGCTGATGGATCAGGCGCCTGGTTTTTCTTGATTTTTTGTTGCATTGTTTCTATTGCTTGTGTGTTCGTCACTGTTGTTAAGTGCCCAGAGCTGTGTGCCACAAGGTGGGCAGACATATAAATCTTCAAATAAATACATACATTTCCCCAGGAAGGAATTCCGACGATAAGTTTCATCCAAGTAAAAGCGGAGAGCGATGCCGCACGCGCCCCGAGGCTTAGCACACGGGCAGCAGACCGGCCGCGGGGATTCTGCGTGCCTCTTGCTGAGAAGGGCTGCGCGCAGAGCTGCCTTCGGGGGTGACTCCGAAGCAGAATGTGGCTGTTTTCATCCTTCCGGTGGTTGAGGATGAGCCGTTTTAGGCTGTTTCGATTCCAGTGGGTCTGGTGTATTTCTGGGCCCGGTTTTGTCTTTTGCAGCGCTTCATTCGGGGCCTAACCACTGGAAGGCCGGCCTGTGTTTTCAGGACTGTTCGAGCTTTTCAGTCCATCAGCGGAATGTGGCCGTCCGGCCTGTTTTCTGCTCTTCCGAAGTCAGCCTGAGAGACAGGCTTCTGGTGGGGCTCTGGAGGGCACCCCATTTAATTAGTTTATTTGCTGCCGTAATATTTATATTGCCCAGTCCAAAGATTTTGGACTCTTAAAATTAAGCACCCAACAATTGCCTCAATTAGCGCTCTTGTCTTGCATGCATGGGGACTTTTAAGAGGACTTTACACCCTGCCCTTTTCCCTTAAATTAATCAAGTATAAAATACTGTATCTGGTATAAAACAAAGCCAAATATGAGAAGAGGGGCAAGAGAACTCGAGGTTCCTTTGACTTACTGCTTGTGGGTTCTTCAGCCGGCTGGCCCACATGGTTCTCCCTCCAGAGGGCTGGAGGCGTTGGGTACCTGAGGCTTCCAGCTAGCTTTGCCAGAGTCCGCCCCCCACCCACTTCTGGAGACCCTGCCATCGTTACTTCCAGCCCTCCCCGCTCCTGACAGCACACTCTGTGTTTCAGAGAAACGAGCCACTGTGCCCTGCACGGTTGCAGACTGCAAATGCCAAGGATTCGTGTTCATTCCTTCGTGCCCGGAGGAGGTGGGTGAATTCTGGCTTCGGCGAAGAACTGGCTTTGATGTGGCAGCCTGGCGAGCAAAATGCCGGTGCAAGCACACACACGAGGAACACATGCCAGTTGGAGCACGTGGATGCTGTGTCCGAGGTGAGCATCTGTGTCTCTGCCACTCCAGGCTGCTGGCTTCTCTGGCCGGTCTGGGCACCCTCCTACTCTTAGTGAGCAGGCCTTGCTTCTGCACCGAGCAGAGAGGATGCGCCCCTGCATGCGTTTCTGCGGGTCCGGCTTCCCTCTTGCAAAAAGAGATTCCCTCACGGGACTTGGGCAGAAAGGATCCCTTTGCCAGCCGGTGCTGCTGGGGATCTTCTGCCCGGGTGTAAGAGGTCCAACCACACCTGGCTCACATCAGTCCAGGAGGGGGAGGCATCTGTGCCCTTATCCGTTGGGGGCCACAGTCTGAAGGTCTTTGAGGAATCATCCTGTTTGGTGGGAAACTTTGGAGCCCTCCCTTCAAGAGAAGGTTGGATGGCTTGCAGAAGCCCTGGGGCACATGGAGGGAGTGAAGCAGGCAGGTCAGGAGAGTGTCATGCGTGGTCTGTGTGCGCCTCCCCCTCAACTGGGAGAAATGCAAAGAGGCCCAAAGCTGGAGGGTGTAACTTCCCCTCTATAGCATCCAAGCAAAAGAACAAGATGCATCTGCCGTAAAGGCCGCCTTCCAGGCCCCCCCGCCCCTCACTGCAGCATAGGCGAGGCCATCCTGAGATGTTGCCCCTTCTGGCCCCAGGCCATACCTAAGGCAGCTGAAAGTTCTCCTGGAGTTCCAGCGCGGTTTCCCTCCAAAGCAATTTTCTTTGGGTGCACTTCACAGACCCTCTGGTAGTGTCTGTGTACCCTTCTTGTGCCTGCCATTCCATGCCCTTTATATCCTGTCCAAACCCTACGTTCGGTTTCTTTCTGCCACCTGCCATTTTATCTCCTGGGACCTGATTACCGTGTTTCTCCCTTGTTTATGTCCTCTTTCCTGTATCCAGATTCCTAACATCCAAGTTACCTCCTTGCTTCTCACAGCAGATCCCTAATGCTTTGCACCAGCTTCACTCGCTTCCCCAACTTTATTGCAACCCTGAATAAAGATCCCTAAGGGAACAGAAGCTGGCACAACCTCTACATGGTGTAAACACAACATCCAGCAGCGTCTGTGGAGTGTGTGTGTCTGTGTGTGTATGTGCATGGTCAAAGCAAATAAATTAGCACCTATAGCAGTGCAGTCCAACCCTTCCCGTTTGTACGTTCGTGTGATGACACCTTCCTGCAAAATTGAATGCATAAATGTAGCATTTATGCACAGTTGTTTTCAGTGAATATGGCCAATGCAGAAGTTTGGACACCTACCCAGTTGATTCAGTATTACTTTTTTATTTAATTGTAATAAGATGCAAAAAAGCGACTGACTCATTGGGCCTACATTTACCCAGGAGAAGGCAATTCCACAGGGGAACAAATACTCTGACCCTTCTGACTCTCAGGTTGTGACTGTTGTTCTATCTGCTTTCAACCACCGTGGGCTCCTCTAAGCAGCAGCCTGAGCACCTTCCCATGAAGACCACTCGCTCTTACACAGGCTCCCAGCTAGCCATCGCAACTGGGAGAAGCATCGTTAAGAAGCAGAACGTGTGTGGACCGTTGAAGAGAAGGCCAGATCTGGAAGGCCAAGAGCCACCTCTGCTAGAACTGTCCAGGTCTGCAGAACGGAGGCACAGATGACTGCTAACGGCCGGCTGAAAAGTGGAGCTGATGCTGGAGGAGTTGTCCACGCCCCGCAGCACAGCGTTGCTTAGACGACAATGACCTGCGTGGGATCATTGTCAGAGGGAAACCAAGTGATTGCCTAAGTATGCCAAAGAAAACCTCGATAAACCTGACACGAGACAAAAAGGGAACTCTTCAGCCACAGCCACACAAGACACATTGGGAGAAAAGAGGGTGAAATATTTGCAGAAAAGAAGCCACCGTCAAGCTTGGGGTGGCTCTCTCACACCCAGAGACTGCGTGTCAGCCAGTGGCCCAGGATACCT